GTCCTTGACAACTTCAGTCTTTTCTCCATTGATAAGAATTTTGTTTATTGGTCCAGTGGTGAGGATTTTTGTTTCTTTTACATTGAGATGCAATCCATACCGAAGGCTGTGCTCGTTAATCTTCATCAGTAAATGTTTTAAGTCCTCTTCACTTTCACCAAGCAAGGTTGTATGATCTGCATATCACAAGTTGTTTATGAGTCTTCCTCCAATCCTGATGCCACATTTTTCTTCATATAACCTAGCTTCTCGGATGATTTGCTCAGCATACAGGTTGAATAAGTATGATGAAAGAATATAGCCTTATATTCTTATATACAACAATAGTTAAAATAACAAGTGTTTTTCCCTGAGCTGTTTGAGACTACATTACAGACATTATGCTCCTTTTATCTAATGTTTTATAAAGGCAAGGATATTTTCTTACATAACCACAGTACAGTCATCAAATTTAGGACATCTGAATATGGACTATATACTTGTCATACAAATGATCTCCATAATTATTACAATGTTTTTCCTGATCCTGTATACAGTCCATGGTCATGAATTGCATTTAGTTGTCATTTTCTCCAATCTCTATTAAGGATTGAATTGTGTGCCCCTCAAATTACCTTATAAGTCTTAATGTCTGTAAGGAGACGTAATGGTTCTGTAGGATAAGCACTGGATTGCTAGCCACAATGTCAACTTTTCAAATCTACCAGCTGTTCTGTGGGAGAAAAATGAAACTATCTTCTCTTGTAAAGAATTACTGTCTAGGAAACCCTATATAGGGTCGGAATGGACTCAGTGACAGTGGGTTGTAAGCTTGTAGTTATCTCATTTGATAACGTGTTGTCTTTGCTGTGTTAATGCGTATAATAAGGTGTATCTTGATTATCTCTTTTGATATATAAAGAGATTAATTAAACAAAGGCGCAGAGAGAAAGATAGGGTAAGTTTGGTGTCAAGACACACGGAGATGAAGAAAGCAGGAAGTAGAAATTTAAGAGGCAAAGACCTTCTTCTAGAGTCAACAGAGGGAGAAAGCCTTCCCCCAGAGCTGACACCCTGAATGCCATCTTTTAAATGGGGGGAGGGGATAAATCTGTTTATTAAAACCCATCCGCTTGTGACTTTTCTATTGTATTAGCACTAGATAGCTAAGGCAGTCTCTTTTAATCTGGAACATTTGCTCAGTTTTTCTTTAAGAGAACAGTGTAGTTGATTCCAAGAACTTTTAAAAGTCCTCTTATATAGAATGTAGAGCACTGGTTTGGTGCTGTGGGTTAATGCATCAGACTGCAATGCCATTTGAACTGCAAGGTTGGCAGTTCAAGCTCACCAGCTGCTCCTCAGAAACTCTATACAGGGTTGCTACGGGTCGGAATTGACTCGATAGCACTTAACAACAACAATATAAATTGTGCTTTATTTCAGGTTTGTCTGTTGTTTCCTCTTGATTAAATTTAGGTAAATGTTAAGTTTTTAACCAGCTTTAGAAGAGAAACAACCAGACCTGCCCTTTCTACACTTTTCTTCTGCTGTTCATTATGCTTTGCCGCTCCAAGGTATTTGAAATTGAGAGAAATGAATTCAACCAGCACTTGTATGGCAACTTATTTAGCCACTTAGATTTAGTTTTATATGTCCCATGCTATTCTGAGTTGTCTAAACTCTGGATTCATATTGACCTTAACATAAATATAAGTAATACTACATTGGGGATCAAAGTTGGGACCACTGATTTTGATCAAAGCAAAGAAAGAATGCTTTGTACATTATCAGATAAAGTTTTAAAATTTTTAGGGACTTTTTTAGAATCTGGAAAGTAATTATTTAGAATTGCAATCTACAAAAAATATTCAATGATGATAGCTAAGTGGTTTTGTGATATAGTTTGGTTATTTGTTTGGGGTGGGAGATTACATGTTTCAATCATAATCTAAGATTTGCTTATTTTCAATGAACATCTTGGTCTCTTTTACAGGGAGCTTATTAGATTTCCTTAAGGAGGGAGATGGAAAGTATTTGAAGCTCCCACAACTGGTTGATATGGCTGCTCAGGTACTTATATATATAAAATAAATAAAGTCAATATGAATTTAAAGTGTAAAATATAGAATTAAATTATAAAATTATTTTAATAGAATACTAGAGTTTATATATAGGCAATCCCCAGGTTATACAAATGAGATCTGTTCCTCTGTGTGTCTGTAAGGATTTGTAGGTAAGTCAGAACAGGTGCATGTGATCCTTATTTAGTTATGATACTTATGCAAGAAAAGGCTCAGCTTTTTTAATAACTTAAAAGCTGAATGTTCAGCAAGTGAAAGTGATTATGATGAAGAGTTTGTTAAAAGTAGGGGTTGGTTCAGTAGTTCCAAAGTGTAGGCAATGTTGCATAATATTACTACTACTACAATAAGCATTGAACTGCAAACCACAAGGTCTGTGGTTCAAGCCCACCAGCCACTCCATAGGAAAAAGATAAGGCCTTCTGCAAAGAAATGCAGCCTCTGAAACCCTATACGGGGTGACTATGAGTCAGAACTGACTCAACAACATTGAAAATTGTCTGTAAACTGGAAATTCATAACCTGGATACTGCTGTTAGTGAAATTTTATGTAGCGGAGTTTTAACTTGAAGGAATGTCTGATTTCCTTTTGTTATAGATAGTAAATCTACTATCTGAAAACCAGAGGTATCCAAAAGTCACGTAACTTGTTAGTAGCAGACAGATAACTCCCAGTTCAGTACTGTCCTGTATTGTATGGCCTTTCAGAAAACATACACATCTAAAGTATTAAATGTATATGTACTTATATTTCAACAGATAAATGTTAAGAAAGTGAATTATTGTTATTGCAAAGAAAATATTAGAAATCTGAAGTATATGCTGAATTTTTTATTTAATATACAAAGGGTAAGTCATAAAGTATTGCTACTAGGATTCCAATTCATACATGCACAGGCTTATTTCTAACAAAACATGCTTAAACATGTCTGTGTGATCAGTAAATGGCTGCAGACAAATTCTGTCCGTAATGCACTTGTCTTAGTCTCACTAGCATGCCTTCCGGAAAAAAAGATCCCAAACAGTGACTTTCAAGGAGGGCTACTTCAATTCAAGGCAGAAGGGTCAGCTCAAAAGGTTATGGTAACTTGTTTTGGGGATTTCACAGAGTAATCTTGATAAATTTTCTTGAAGGACACAGTACAATCATAGGAATTAACTGAAAGAAGTTTTAAGAAAACTGAAAACTGCATGGTGAGGAAAAGGCCAACAAAGATGCTCAGAGGAATGCCGTTGTACCTGCTCATTTTTTTTTTTTTACCATAGCAAGGGCTGTCCTACAAGAATTCCATTGAAAACCCTCCCCATTCATTCTACAATCCTGATCTTTCCCTTTCAAACATCTTTTTTTTTTTTTTTTTTAAACAAAAACAAAAAATCTTTCAAAGGAACAGATTTTTCATTCCTCAAAGATACCAAAACTGCTGTTTTGGTATGGTATACATGAGAGTCTAGAATTCTCTAAGGAAGGGTTAGAGAGATGGAAACACCACCTTCAGAAGTATATAGACTTAGAATGAAGATGTGTTGAAACAATAGCTTTACATTTGGATATTTTTGCTAAATGTTTCTGTGATTTTTGTAGCAGTACTTTTTGACTTACCTCATATAGTCCAAAACACAAATTAAGATGACAATCTGTAGTTTAAGGCAGCACATTGACTCCATAGGATAATCACTGGATTGCGAAACCACGGGTTTGGTGGTTAGAGCCCACCAGCCGCTCCGTGCAAGAAAGATGAGGCTTTCTGCTCCTGCAAATATTTGAAGCTCTATAGGATAAGCACTGAAGCACAAGGTTGGTTTGAACTGCAAGGTTGATGGTTCACTCCTTGTAAACCCTATGCAGGGTCACTGTGAGTCAGAACCTTTGATGTTGGCACTTAACAACCGCAGCAGTAACAAATATAGTTTAAAATGGGATATTTTTACTCTGAAATTTTGCTTTTAAATGAAAGTGAAAACTTAAAAAGTTTCTATTCTCTGATTCATATTTGAGGGCTTTTTTACTGTTGACATGTTGGTTTTACAACATGAAGTCAAAAAGAATTGCTGCTAAACATGTATGTATTACAGTTGATACATACGAGATGGTGCTGTCAAGGCTATGGAAGAAATGAATGGCAAAGACTTGGAGGGAGAAAATATTGAGATTGTTTTTGCTAAGCTACCTGATCAGAAAAGAAAGAAAAAGCTCAGAGGCAAGCTGCAAAGAATCAAATGTATGATGATTACACCTCATATGCCCCCTCCACCAAGAGGTCGAGGGCATGGAGGTGCATGCAGGTGGCTATGGATGTCCTCCAGATTAGTATGGATATGAAGATTATTATGATTATTATTGCTGTGATTACCATAACTATCATGGTGGATATGCAGATCCATACTGTGGTTATGAAGATTCTCTACTTGGAGCTAGGGGAAGAGCAAGGGTGCTGCTCCAGGGCTGCTCCTCCTAGTGGTAGATCTGGTGATTCACAGAGAGGAGGTCATGGATCAGCAAGAGGCGTTCGTGGTGCGAGAGTAAGTAGGTGCCCAACAACAAAGAGGCCGCAGGCAGGGCAAAGGGTTGAGGCTGGTCCTGATCTGTTTCACTGAAGACCGAATTGCTATGTGGGATTACACCAGAAGCATGCACTGGAGTTATGGTAAGGAAATCAAGCAACCTTAATATCTTGGCTGTATAGGAGCATATTCTATTGCAGAAGACCTTCCTATGAAGAATGAAATCAAATACGGGACATTGAACTCATACTTGGACTTTGATATGAATTTCTTTAACAATTTTCTCTGCAGTGCAAGTTATTAAACTAAAGCTACTCTATTTTCCAAAACATAAAAAGATAGCCAAGAGAGTAAACAAATGAAGTTGATACATACATGTTTATTGTAAACAGTGTTTAAACACGTTTCTGCCAACAGTGGATGGCTGCTGATAAGTTCTTTGACTAATACTCTTGTCTTAGTTGCATTAAGGTGCTTTCAAAAATAGGACACTTTCTATGCCATGGAAAAAAAACAATTTTGAAGTCAGGTGTATTACCAAATTTTTAATAAGCTCAAGTGAACATCTGTACAAATCACTGAAGATTTACCGCAAGATTACAGGAATGCTACCCCATATAAAACAAGTGTCTAGATGGATCAAGCATTTTAAGGATGGTTGGAAAGACTTAAGAGATAGCCAAAAGAGTATACAAATGAAGTAATTGCTGCTAAAGTACAGGATGGTGGAAAAAGACCATACAGTTACCACTGATGTGTGATAGCTACTGAAGTTGAGATCTCACCTGGTTTAACATTTTCAATTTTAAGCAAACATCTTGTCCTCAGCAAGCTTTCGACTTTGCAGAAAGATTAGTTAGCTCAAAGAGCTGATCTTGCCATGAGTCTTTTAAAGCAAGACTGAAGCTAATAAAAATGCTTTCATGGAATGAATCTTAATTGGCAATGAGTCTTGGATTTACCAATACAATCCAGAATGCAAGGTCTAGTCAAAACACTTCCTGCTGAGGTTTAGTTTGCCTTCTGTGCCAGTTAAATTCAAGGCAGAGAGATCATCTCCAAAAGCTATTTGTTGTTGTTGTTAAGTGCCATCAAGTCTGTTTGTTTGGAATGCCATAAAATTTTTGATAGATTTTCTTAGTAGACAGGATAATCATGGG